AATCATCTTTTTTGTATTGTTTGTTTGAGACAGGGTTTCTCTGTGCAGCCCTGGCTGTTCTAGATCTCACTCTGTAGACGAGGCTGGCCTTGAACTCACAGAGCTCCGCCTGCCTCTGCCTCCTGAGTGCTGGGATTAAAGGCATGCATGGCCACATCTGCTCCAAACTTGTAATTGTGAATGTAATCTTATATATTCCCAGGCCCACTGCTTAGCTTTGGAAGCTGCCAATATTAGCTTTCTCCATGCTAAGTTACCAGTTGCTGGTTCCTTCAAGTCATCTCCTTAGTTGTCCAGAAAAGAATCCATCTTCAGCAGCAACCACATAACCCTGTCAGAGAAAGCAAGCAGCCTCACTGGGCTGGAACACTGGGATTCATAGTGGGTGTGTATCCTGGTTCCTTTTCTACTGCTGTGACTAAGGCATGTACCATGAACAAGGCAACTTATAAAAGACAGCATTTAACTGGGGACTGGCTTACAGTCTCAGAGGGAGAGTCTATGACCATCATTCAAACATTGATCCTATGAGGAGCCATTCTCCTTCAGACCACCATAGTGACAGTCCACAGAAGAGGACTTCATCAAAGCTGCTGGCTCTTCACACCCGGTTCAGACATCCTCTTGGAATGTTACTTACTCTTTGCATCCAAAAAGTCTCCCTCTCTAATAGTCGCACATTGCAGAATGACATTCTGGCCAATGAGTGACCTCCTATATGATGATAGTATTAGTTTGTACAGCAGCCTTAGTCTATGTAGCTGTTCACTCCGTTATGTAAGAAGAAATCTAACAATGAGTTCAACAGAGTATATAACCCCATCATTAATCGATTCAGGTGGAGTCCTGGTGAATTCATGTTATCATTTCCAATTCTAGCGCTAGAACTAAATAGACAGCTCTTAAAAGATGTACACATGGCCAGCAACATCAGTCAGAGATATACAAATTAAAACCATGGTGACCCAGGATGTCACTCCAGTAAGAAATGGCTGTTGTCAGAGAGACAAAAGAAAAATAGTGACGAGGCTGTGGGAAGAACCTTGTATTCTGTTAGTGTGAAGTGATGTACTGTAGTTACTAAGGAAAACAATATAAAGGGTCCTCAAAGAGTTAAAATAACCACATGATACTACAGTCCCGCTGCTGGGTACATTTCCAAAGGAAATGAAATCAATATGTCAGAGACATTTGCACTTCCCTGTTTATTGAAACACTTTTCACAAGAGCTAAGGCATGGAAGCAATTTAAGCACGTCAGTGGATGAATGGATAAAGAGAATGTGTTACAAACGAACAGTGGGGTGCTCTTCAGGGTTAGAAGAGAATACAGTCTGGTCACTGGTGACAACATGAATGAAATGAGATTATTACTGAATGAAGCAAGCTAAACCCAGAGAGACAGGTCCTGTGGGATGCCAGTCAGGAGACTCTGGGAAAGTTAACTTCCTAGAATCTGGCTGTAGACTAGTGGTCATCAGGAGCCGGAAGAACAGCAGTGGGAATGGGGAATGCACTGGTCCACAGGAAGGCTCTAAGTCCCTGCTGGAGTGGGAACCCTGCAGTGCCCTTGTACACGGAGATGATTACAAGTAACATGTATTTCAAACGCTAGGAAAAATCGTTTTTAATGCTTATCATTTTTCTTTTTTTGGTTTTTTGAGACAGGGTTTCTCTGTGTAGCTTTGGAGCCTGTTCTGGAACTCACTTTGTAGACCAGGCTGGCCTTGAACTCATAGAGATCTGCCTGGCTCTGCCTCCTGAGAGGGATTTAAGGTGTATACCACCACCGTCTGGCCAAAAAAAACACTTTTTTTTTTTTTTTTTTAAAAAGAGAAGCTTTCCAGTTCTTTTTATTTCATATTTCTTTCTGAAATCATTCTACCAGTTGGTACATATAAGACAGCCTTTTTTCTTCTTCTTCTTTTTTTTTTTTAAGTATGGAGGAGTAAAATTGCTAGGCTGTAGGGCAGGGCATGCACATCACCTTTATTACATAGTTCCAGAGTGTTTGCCTAGGGATTCTAACAAATTTAGATGGTGTGTGTGTGTGTGTGTGTGTGTGTGTGTGTGTGTTGGGGATCTGAGGTCCTCTGCTCTCACTGAGTACTCTATCACTGAGCTGCACCCCCATACCAAATTTACATACCTGAGAGTTTTGTGTCAGAATGTTGGGCCCCATGTATTATCATCAGTTTCTGTGCCCAGAGTTAATCTTTTCCTGCCTGTCCTGCTGGGTGAGAAGCACTTACATTGCTTCTGTTCTGTTTTTCTTTGATGCCTGATGAGATTGGGTCTCTGCTGTTTATTGTCGTTTTCAGCTAAATTCGTACGTGTGTGTGAACGTGTGTGTGTGTGTGTGTGTGTGTGTGTGTGTGTGTGTGTGCAGAGGCCACAGGAGAAGGTCAGGCGTCCTGCTCCATCACTCTCTACCTTTCCCCTTGTGATGGGGTTCCTTACTGAACCTGGAGCTCTGCAGGTGGCCAGCAAGCCCCAGGGAACCTCCTGTCACCAATTTCCCACAGAACTTGGATTAAAGGGCATATGCCCAGTGTTTACACAGATGCCGGGTTTAGAACTCAGGTCCTCAAGTTTGTGTGGCAAGCTCTCTTATCCACTAAGCCCTCTCTCCAGCCCCTGGACTAGCTTCTTTGGTGAGCTATCTGCTAAGTTCCTTGTCCATTTTTCTGTTGACAGTTACACGTGTTGCAGGTTCTCTCCACTCTGTGGTTTGTTCTCCCCCTTTGCCTAAAGTGTTTTCTGGTGAGCTAAAGTTTTAAATTTTATAAACTCTTCCTTCATGTTTTCAGTTTTGTTAAAAAAGAATTTCCACATGTATTAGTATTCTCCAGAGAGTGGAAGTGGGAAGGGATGGGGAGAGAGTGAGAGGAAGAGAGGGAAGAAAATAAGAGACCGAGAGAGATGCTAATTTACTAGAGTGTAGTTGGACTTTCTTTGGACCACCAGCTCCCAAATAATGACACAGAGACTTCTTACTAAGTAGGAAAGCTCAGCCTTAGCTCAGGCTTGTTTCCAACTAGCTCTTAAAACTTAAATTAACCTGTTTATATTAGTCTACATTCTACCACATGGCTTGTTATCTCTCCTCATTACTGTATGTCCGACTTGCTCCATGCCTCAGATTCCTCCCAGAGTTCCCCTCTCTCTCCCTGGAAATTGGAGTCCTGCCTATCATCTCCTGCCTAGCCATTGGCCATTCAGCTCTTTGTTAAACCAATCAGAAGGTGCCTTAGCAGAGACACATCTTCATAGTGTACAAAAAGATTATCTTACGAACTAGAGGAACTGGCCCGTGCAATTATGGAGGCTGAGAAGCCCGTCAAGAGGGCAGTTCCAGTGAGCCCCAGACCCAGGGAAGCTAGCGTGCATAGCTGTCGGTGTGAGGCAAAAGGCTTCAGAACCCAGGGGCCCTTGTTGCAAGAGTTCTTCTGACAGGAGGGCACCCCAGCTCCAAGAGAAGCTTTTCCTTCTGTCCAGATGCCAGACAATTGGATGGACTCCACTCAATAAAAGTAGTTCTTCCCCCTCGACCTTCCAACTCAGGTGCTCATCTCATGGAGAAACACCCTCCGACCCACCCAGGAATGATCCTTTGCCATTCACCCATGTCCTTAATCCCATCCAGCTGATTCTGTCTGATTAGCTCTCTCACCAGCCTGCTACAGATTAGCAATTTTGCCTTTTGGATTGCTTTTAATTCACCTGGAATTGTGTTTTGTGTTTTGTATGAGAGTCAGAACCAGATTTCATGGTTGTCTTACACACCCACAGCTCACATGGCTTACTGAGAAGCCAACTGCGTGCTCCACCCTGTAGTACACACCCAGCTTGTATGTGTGTCAGGTTAGAGCTTTAGTCGTGACTATTGAGTGGTATCAGATTTTTCTTGCCCCATGTATTCTTATAATCATGTTACATTCCCCCTCCATTTACTTGTTAATGAATTGTATTAATTTACTTCCAGATGTTAAATTGGTCTTTCATTCCATGGATAAGCCCAATTTGGTTGTGATGTATCACACATTGAGTATTTTGCTGGATGAGATTTGCTAATAGTTTAGAATGGAAGTTATTAATGATACTACTATAATAATATCTTCTGCATATGCTTCCTTCTTTCCTCTCTGTTTTAGTACAACTTTTTCAAGTTTTATTTTTTATTATTTATTTATTTTTGTTCTTTTTTTGAGACAGGGTTTCTCTGTGTAGCTTTGTGCCTTTCCAGGCTGGCCTCGAACTCACAGAGATTTGCCTGCCCCCCCCCCCCACACACACACACTTGGTCTGTCTCAGAAGCACCCTTTGAAAACTCTGGAAGGTCACCAGCTAGCCAGTATGGAGTCTAAGACAGCAGCTTCTCTAATGGCTGTGCTGGGCCACGTGCAGGGTGTAAGGCTTTGGAGTTTGTTTTAGCTTTCTTTCCATTTGCTTTTGTGGCTGGTGTCTCTTCCTCGCTGACTGCAAGTGGAGAGAGAATTCGAGGGTCCCATCTCACCTTAGAATTCACTCCGTACATTGGCATTAACTCTACTGCCTCTGAGTCACGGAGAGCCTGTTTCTAGGTTGAAAAATGGGACTTCCCTGAGTAATTTTATTCAGCTCCTAATTCACTTTCTTTAGTGAGTTGAGAAAGTATCAAGCCTGTCAATTTGAATAAATCTAGCTTGTTTTTTTCCTCTCATTAAGGTGACAAACATGAATATCTTGTTACCTAGTTTTGTGAAGTGATTGCAAGGACGATTTTTAAAAATGACCCCTTCTGGTCTACTTTCACATCAGACAGCTAATCAGATTTGAAAATAATGAAGGCGTTCTTGATAATAATGAGTTTTGGGTTATCCATCTGAACATTAAAGAAACCAGCATTTTAGGGAAAGTTTTGTTCCGTTAGCCGAGAGAGTGACAGGAAGAGGCTTGCTGTGGTGGACTGATGAATTGTCTGAGGGAAAGGTAACTTGACTGTTTCTCCCAATGTCTCAGGTATCGGTGGCAATTTGGTGGCCATTCAGGCTAGCAGGATTTCTACCTACCTCCATTTGCATAGCATCCCTGGGGAGCTGCCCGAAGAGCCCAAAGGTTGTTCCTACCCGTTCAGGACGTTCTTTGGTTCAGGTAAGTGTGTGTGTGTGTGTGTGTGTGTGTGTGTGTGTGTGTGTGTGTGTATTTAGTCAGGAACTGCTGCCGGCTGAGAATGGACAGGCAAAATTGGTTGAATCAATATTTTGTGAATGTGCTGAGCTAATCTCAGAGGACAAAGACCTTCTGTGTCCCTAAGTCCGTGTGTACAGGTGTGACATTTTCACTTTTTATTCCCATCTCAGTTGGTTAAGAAAGAGTAACCATACTCTTACATTTTTGGTTATGAGCCTAGCCTTTTTTTTTCTTTGAGCTGAGGATCGAACCCAGGGCCTTGCACTTGCTAGGCAAGTGCTCTACCACTGAGCTAAATCGCCAATCCGAGCCTAGCTTTTAACAGCTGAGCCATCTCTCCAGCACTTGGGAGGCAGAGGCAGGTGGATCTCTGAGTTCAAGGCCAGCCTAGTCTACTGAGCAAGTTCCAGGACAGCCAGGGTTACACAGAGAAACCCTGCCTCAAAAAAAAAAAAAATTGAAAAAAAAAAAAGAAGGAAAGAAAGAAGAACTGTATGTACAAACACAAAGCACCCGTAACTTAGGGACAGACAAACGGACTTTTCTTCCTGTACTCCTGCTTTTTGAATCTTTAAAATGTGGATATTTGTCTGAAACAGGACATTAGGAGACAGACAGCTCAGTGATGTGGGAACAATACATTACTTATATGAACAGATATGTGACTGCCAGAAAAACTGAGATCATTATTTCACTACTTTATATGTATGGGTGTGGCCTGTAAGTGTGTCTGGGCATCACTTGCATGCCTGGTGCTCCTGAGGCTGCAAGGGGGGCATCAGGTCCAATGGAACTGGAGTTTCAGAAGGTTGTGAGCCACCCCATGGGTCCTGGGAACCCTGGTCCTCTGGAAGAGCAGTCAGAGCTCTTAGCCACTGAGAATCTCAAGCCCCTCCTTGTGATATCAGTGATGGAACAATAAAAGAAGACATAAAAATGATATTCCACTTTGCCTCTGTTTTTATAACACTAATGTTCTTGAAAACAAGGTTTGTTTTGTTTTGTTTTGTTCCCTGGGACAGGGTTTCTCTGTGTAGCTCTGGCTGTCCTGGATCTTGCTGTGTAGACCAGGCTGGCCTTGAACTCAGAGATCCCGCCTGCCTCTGCCTCCCGAGTGCTGGGATCAAAGCCATGTGCCACCACTACCTGGCTCAAAGTAAGTTTTTAAATGGCCATTTTTTATTTGATTTTATAATTATACCTAGTAGGGGAATTCCTAAGAATTAAGTGAATTGTAAATAATTGAGATTTATTCTTAACAGTTGAATTGATGTGATGCTGTGAGCTATAGAAATGAGAAAGTAACCTTCAATTTGTTGTTTTGTTTTTCTGAGATAGGGTCTTACTGTTTGGCTTGGGGTGGCCTTAAACTCAAAATGCTGCTGCTTCAGCTTCCATAATGCTGGGGTCACAGCCATCTAAGGCTGTCCTCTGTCTGTAGTGCTGGGGTCACAGACATCAGGGTTGTCCTCTGTCTGTAGTGCTGGGGTCCCAGACATCCAAGGCTGTCCTCTCTCTGTAGTGCTGGGGTCACAGACATCCAAGGCTGTCCTCTCTCTGTAGTGCTGGGGTCACAGACATCCA